AACTATACTCTTCCTCATATCCATTCTGTATATTCTCTTCTTCAACATACTTCTAATCAAAGATCTTTTCAGTTTATCACTTCATCACTCACATTCACTCATCGTGCACTATGGCTAACCAAATTTCTGTACCAAGAGAAAGAGAAAGAGTTCTCATTCAGAAAATCAAGCCAGAAGTAATGAAGCATTACAAACAAATATCATGTTCCGCACATCTGAAAGATGACACATTCTATGTGAAAAAGAGTACGAAAGTAAAACCTAGAGCCTTGATCAACAACTTGGAAGTACTCAAACGGGACAAGTCTGAAGAACTGATAAATGCTATCAACGGAGTTATTAGCGATGTCGAAGATATGTTTTCTGATGGTGGTTGTCGAATGTACATACGTCATACTGCTGGAAGAGGAAATGCGGTCGAATTCGTCTGTGTTGCTGTATATAAGTATATGGTAGAAAGGAAGGAAGCTGTTGATTATTTGATTTCTTTCTTTTCCCATAAAGAAAAACGTTATGTTGCCCGAATCGGTAATGCGATGGATGAACTTCGTGGCACTGCTTATAATGCAGTTCTTCAAGAACCTGCGCAGGTAAGGGATATGATAGAGGCGAACTTCATATATGAGCTCGTAGGACGAGAATACGCTAAATTAGAAAATGACAAAATTTTTATGTTTATAGAAGACTAAGTTTATTGAGTAAGGCTCAATGGGTCCGAGTATTTGAAATGTTATAAAAGCAATTGCCCTTCCTCTCCTCCCCCTTAAGAGTTTTTTCCGTTGAACCCGTCTCCTCTTTCACATCTTATTTTCTCCTTTTGTAATTGAATAATGAGTTGTCAATAAACCTTTGAAATAAAATGAATATGTGGAAATGAGTTCGATTTGGTTAGAAATCGGTCGGAAGATTTCCGCTCGTCAGATTCACAATGTTCCAGTACTTTGTGTGTCAATGAGGTTCAGTAATTCATTAAGTATTTGATACGAGTGAAGCGTAGGTTTATGTTATGCAGTACCTAGGTGAAGGTTGCAGGTTGCAATGACGAGTTGGTTTGATGCTCAAGATGAACGTGAAGCATGTTGGTGGAAGCAAAAGCAAAACTCTCTCAAACTTACTTTTGCTGGGTTTAACCTATGTACATGAAAACTCCCACTTTATGGTAAAGTTAACACTCTTGGGACGAGTCGCCATCTCTGCAGGTCTCTGACTTCTCGCTGAGTGAGTGAAGAGAGAGAGGCCAAACGTCTCTCGTTCACGAAGTCGTTTTTCTTTTTTCTACCTTTGTCCCTCATCTTCCGATGATCGTTTCATTTTTGCTGAAGAGCACAGCACATAGTTGGATCTGTATAAGATTTTCAGAATTTTTCATCATTGGCTGGATAGTTCCAAGAGAACTTCTCGGAAGCTTGAGGTGCAAGTTCCAGTTATGTTACATCTAGTGAACAGAGTCTGAGGAGAGAATATTTACGATAGGGCATGCCAATAAAGCATCGAATGAAATAAATGAGTTATTTATCTATATCGTCATGTCTTGTTGAACCAATAAGTCTTTATCAAGTATTTCCTTCTGTGTGGCTAAAAAGTTCTTTTCAATTTCTTCAAATGGCATATACATTTCCCTCACAGGCTTTATGCGGATATCTACATGAATGACGGTTTTATGAACTGTGTACGACCGCTCACCAACATTGGACTTGAACAATGAAACTCGTGTTAACGACCAAGATAAAAAAAATGAAGCTTGTGCTACATGATCATTTCATCCAAGTCTCTATTGACTGTTCGTCTGTCCCCTTATTCATAGTAGAGAACGTTCTCGTTGCAGTGTTCATAGTATGGAGTTTGTTCTGTGATACCTTTCTTCGAAATCAAAGTGGCATAACACGTGATCAAGAAAAACGTCTATTGTGTAAGGTAATATCAAAGATCATCATATATCATCGTCTGTAATGAACACATGAACCATGGTCAGCAAGTGATTGAATCAGACTCCACCTCTATTGCTTTTTGATTCATACCAAATGATTCAAATGAACTTTTCTTCATTTATGAGCTTTGATCAAAGACTGTTGGAAGTAGAGTATGATGAGATGAAAAGCATCATAACTATACGTATAATAAGAGATGAACATATGTATTTGAAAGCTTTATTAATAAATAATAAAACAGATAATAAACGATAAAGCAGATGAGATGACATAGAGATGTCCTTGTATGTTCTAATTCTTAACATCATATCAATGAAAGAAATCAGCTGAATTTCAGCTGATTATCATATGAGATGAGAGAGAATGAAGAGATGAATGAACTGTTCTTCTCACCCAAAAAAATCTGTCAATTATAGTCTATAAAAGGCATTGGTATGTCATATACAAACGTCATCAACAACATCATGACGATGATGATGATGATGATGATGATGATGTTGTTGATGTTGAAAGTGAGAAGTGTATGTTCTATGCTTCTCATTCAACTTCAAACATCAATGAGCCTTTCCTTCACTCTGAAAGAGTTCATAGAGAAACTGTATGAGATGATGATGTTTATATCAAATCCTCTTATCACATTATATCTATTATCTTATCTATTCTATATAAATGATATATCTTTATATCCATCTCCATATATGTAGAGAAAGACATCTTTCACTCGTGATTTGCATACAGAATATGCAAATGAACTCTTTGTATTCATTTGTGATGATAGCATATCAACACACACACACAAAGCATATACAAGCCAATAGGTAAAGCAGACACAGACGTTCTCATCATCATCATCATCATCTGCTTTTCTTTTTTTTTATTATTTTCTATGCTTTATGTTTATATATACATTTTTTTTGTGATTATAATAAAATTGACAAACAGGATGTATTGTTTTGAAAATGGTGGGTGATGGAACAGGTATGACCATACTTGCTTCTTGAACAATGCAATGGAGCACTTCATGATTCAGTTGACTTTTATATAAAGGCAAGTCAAAGAGTAAGTTAACTAAACGTTGGAAAAAGAATAACTCGAAAATAGGAAGTGAGAGTAGAGAGAGTAGAGAGAGAGTAGAAAGAGAGGAAGGTAGTAATAGAGAGAGAGAGAGAGAGAGAGAGAGAAGAAGGTAGTAAGAGAGAGAGAGAGAGAGAGAACTTAGCAGAAAAGAGATGAGTAAGATGGAATTTTAGAAGACATGCAAAAAGTCAGTGGGAAAGTACCAACACGTAGGATGGAGGGGGGGGGGAGAAGAAAGGTTCTTTATGTACAACTTGATCAGGTTTTTAAAACATTTGCTTTTTCAACGTTTTTTGAATGTTTGTCTCATTCTCATTCTTTTATATTTCAGACTTGACCAGCTTGCCAAAGAGAGATTGAGAAGCCATATATGGCTCATGACCTGTTTACCTTGAAAATCATATCAGCGTCGTCTCATTCATCACAAAAATGACAAAAATTCTTGGTCAACGTCAAATGGCGCTGCTGCTCTTCAGCATATTGTTTCTCATTCACATAATAATTCAAATAAAGGAATCTCTCGTTTTTTTTAATGGAAATGATAAGAACGTGTTTTTCTATTTTTAAAAAACGATGACGTTTCACGTTATTTCCATCTGAAAGTCAACGTCACGAGTTTTCAATGAATAAAATGACATCGAAAGTTATGATATCTATGCTCTCTAGATGATTTCCAGATTACTTTCTTCACATTTCACCTTCTATCACACTCTTTTCCTGTTTGTCTTTGTCTTCACGTGTCTGTCTCTCAATGTGTATGTGTGTGTGTAGAGATGAGTGGGTTGTATCTATCTCCCTCTCTTTGTCATACCGTATTCAAATGTGTCACTCAATATACTTATCATACAGTACCTTAATACATACACAGGGATTACTGTAATCTAGCTAACCACATCTCATATACATAATGGTACAGTAACTCAAAATGGAAATACTTTGTCCTGAATGAGATAGAATCAACCATCTTACCCTTTTAGTACAAAATTCCAGTTAGAATAAGTAAATAGTTCATAAAAGATGATTGATATCTCTTAATTTGATAAAAATTATATACTTTAATAGCAAAAATGAGAATTTTTGGCATTTCAGTTCACATTCTGTGGTATCCATCGCACAACGCTCACTCTTACTCTCTCGGTTGTTCCATTTCGGTTGCTCTTCCCTCTTCTCTCTTCTCTCTCTACTAGTTGTCACGTTTTCATTCCTTTTACGGTTTTTCATTCATTTCGTTTTATAAAGATGTGTGAGCGCGTTGATGTTTAAAGCATTCTCTCTACTTTCAGATAATGACGACAGTTAAGCACGTTCACAGAAAGTTCTCCACCAGACGATCTACGACTGATTGGAAGAACATCTACATCGTTAGTATATTCGCTTTTATTGATGCATTTCAATTTGCATTCTTCGTTTGGACATTCTGGCCGTATGTCCAACAGGTAATCCTCAACCCCTTTCAAATCATCTCATCTTCGACTACTTGAAGCTTGATCCAAGTATGACTACTTCTTTCGTTGGTCTAATCATGGCTGCATCTGGTATTGGTGAAGCCGTCGCAGCTCCTATTCTCGGTAAGGTTCAATCAACTCTTATCACATCAACGTCCATTCATTTGAAGGTTTCTGGACAAACAAATGTGGAAAAATCATTCCTCCCTTAGTGGCATCTGTAATCATCTCTATGATCGGAAATGTTATTTACATGTGTCTTAACGAAATCCCTTTGCATTTAAGAACTCCAGCATTACTCATTTCTCGCTTCTTGAATGGAGCTGGAAGTGGTAAGAATCCTTGTATACGGTTTTGTGCTGAATCTTCATCTATTTAAGGTAACAGAGGAACTTACTTCGCTTATATTGCAGCTGCATCTGATCCAACAGATCGCGCTAGAAGTATGGCTCTATCTGGCGGTGGAGCCTTGATTGGTTTGAATGTTGGTCCAGGTATGTAATTGAGACGTGCTAGGTAGTAGATATGTCTCCTTTGCAGCAATCCAAATGCTATTCACATGGGTCGGAGATGATGGTATCGAATTAGGATTTATGAGATTGTCTATGTATACCTGCCCAGCTTTACTAGCCCTGGTCATCAACTTGGCCTCGTAAGTCTTTCTTTCACCCACTTAGAGAGTAATGAAGAGAGAGAGAGAGAGAGAAAAGGTGAGAGAGAACATCAAAGATTGAAGAATGTTTGAAATTGTTTTTTAAAGGATAATATTATTAATAACAATGTTGGATGATGGATTAGATCGAAATGAACCAGAAGATCTTGATAACATTTCCACCTACAGTATCGCCGCTGCAAACGATTCTGATTTAGGTAATTGGATGATAGGGACACATAATATAAAAATATATTTATAATTCAGAAAGAAACGTTGTTTCAACTATCCGATTAGATGTTTTAGCTGTTGTTGTGTGCATGCTGACCAGAGCAGCTCGAATGCTTATTACAGCCAACATCGAAAGGTTTTCCATAATACCCTACCCCCGCACTCATATCATACTCATTGTAGCATTGGTTCACCTTTCTCTGAAGTTATGTTCGATTTGGATAAAGCATCTGCATTGGACTTCAACTCCAGAATGCAAGCAGCTGTTGGCGTTCTAACCACATTCATGTTCTTCATTTATGTCTTCACCGACTACTCCAAATGGTAAGAAGCTTCAACTATGAGACTGCAAGCATGACACTGTGTTTAGGGTGTCTGAACGTCTCAATTGTTTCTTAGCCATGATTGCTCTCCTCTTCTTCCATCTTATCACATTCTCTTGGCCATTTTTATCAGGAAACCTCACAAGCTGTTCTCGTTTCCAAAAGAGTCTGAATGGTATGTTGATGTCACTTTTGAAATAAAGTACATTGTCATTACAGATACATCAGACTTCACTCAAGATTGGACATGGTGTGAAGAATTGCGACCAGTTAACATCTGGTTCTACTACATCAGTTATGCCATCATATTCGGAATAGGATTACCTTGCTTAAATAACTCATTGCAATCCTTATATAGTCAAATTCTTGGAAAAGGACGTCAGGTACGAGTTCCCTGACTGGACATTGTGAAGAAAGAAATCATTTGAAGGGAACAATGCAAGGTTTGAATCAAGCAGTCGGCTGCATATCACGAATTCTCGGACCACTTCTTATGTCGTAAGTTTCACACGTCATTCTGTTCTTTCATAGTCAATTCGTGTTCAGCTCCGTTTTTTCCTTATATGGTCCTAAAGCCACATGGCTTATCGAGATAATACTTATTTCTGTTTGTTTGATTGTTTGGTTAGTTTTCCTTATCTTATGCTCAATTAAAAACACTCTTATAGGCTTTTCGTTTATCGACGACTAACTCCAGCAGTGGAAGTCAAAGAACGAGAGATAGTAGTTGAAGAATCTGAAGGAGTAGAGAATCCAGCATGTAGACGTAGCAGTATGGTCTCAGAGATATCTATAGTTGCAACAGATGATGTAATGAAGAGAGTTAAGTAAAATGATTTTCTTGACTTCTTCTAAAGAAGACACACATGCATCTCTTCTTCTTGTGTTGCAATTTGAATACTCTTCATAATCTAGTCGGAAATATATTGTTGTAGACACAAATGATTGACGATGACGATGATATGCGTAAGTATGTTTGTATAAATATGTATATTAGTATTAATTATGCTAATTATATTATTATTGAAAAATGTGTAAATAGCCTCAGGGAAATGCCTTTTATGAATAAACGTTTATATCTTTCAACTGATAATATGATAAAAAGACTTTGATTAGCAAATCAATTGTCAAACAGGAGCAAGGATGAAGCTTGTGTTACTGGCTCTTCTATGCTTTTCCGCAGTTTTCGCTTCTGCTCCAAAGTTTTTCCGTAAAGCTCCTGTAAGTTCATCCAAATGACACTGCAGCAGATCAAATTGAATATCATGTTCAGGTTGTCTCAAACGATGATTTCGTCGGATGTCCCACGGATAACGACTTCTACTATACAGGAGGTATAAACTCTCCTTTATGGCCACAACCATATCCTCCTAATGACAAGTGTTACTACTACATTACCGCTCAAAGAGGATCAGTCGTTGGGTACTTCGATCCAGAAACAATCCAAATCATCGTACTACTTTCAGAATCAACTTTGACTTCTTCGACTTGGAAACATGTTGTGATTACGTGACAATCTACGATGGTCCTTCTGAGCGTTCACCAATCTTAGCCAGGTTTTCACTTGTTGTCACCTCTTTCCTCATATCCTGTTAGAATTGGTGGACCAAACATGACGAGCAAGAAGCCAACCGGAAAGTACTACACTAGCACCAGAAACTCTTTAATTACATTCACCAGTGACGACAGAATCGAACAGAAAGGATTCCAGCTCTCATACACATCTGAAAGTGGTTAGTTTACAGTTCACATGAAAGAAGACAGTGCACGTGAATGTAAATATGGCAAAGGGCATATTAGCACAAGTGCTTGAATTGCCCTTTTATCATGTGAATAAACTAACCTGAAGTTGTAAAAGTTTGGAGCCTTTAGTTGATTCATAACTATGCTTTAGTGTGAGCTTACTCATCAGAGGTTATGATGAACTGTTTGATCTGAGAACATCACTGTGCGAACTCATACTTCCATGTCGCTAACCACTAACACCTTACAATTCAGGTGCTACTCCATGTACCAGAGATGTCATGCTCGTAATTAACGCCATGAGCGATATGGGATCACAAGCCAACTTCGTGAAGGTGATATTGATCTCAAGGGATGGGCTTACTTGTTTTGTTTCAGCAATTGCAATTCATTGCCAATAACTTGACTAGAACCTGGAACGTTGGTATGAACGCAGTCAGAGTAACCATTAACCTTCAGGTAACCTATAACCCTTCAGTTCTCTTTGAAATAGTATTTGAAGGTCGACAAGGACTACGCCGTCATATTCGATCCTGCTATAAGTAACGACGTGAGTTACAATGAGAAGTTTGAGTAATTGTTGCGGTTGTAGGATCTGACCCAAACTGTTCTTGGTTTGACTAACTATGTACCTGATGTTATGTCTAACAACGAAACCAACATCAACTGGTGATGCTTGAATAGCACGCAAGATATTACATTCTTCTCTTTCAGCTTATTCCGATACGCCGAAGGAGACTTCGAAGATGTTAAGGAGTTCAAAGTACGTGAAGGAGTTGAACAGGTGGCAATGATTTTCACCGCTGGAAACCCAGTGTCAGTCATGAAGTATATTGTAAAGCTCAATATCTGTTTTCAGTGACAGTCAAGATTACTATGAAGCTGTCGAGTACTCGCATAAATTGAGAACCACACTCGATACCAAAGTCATAATCATCGCTATGGGTAAATCAGGAGCATTGAACATGAACGCCATCTCATCCTTATCTGACACACCCGCATTCACATTTGCATCTGATTTCGATAACCTTCCAAGCATTATTGGTAAAGTCAATAACGCTATGTGTATGTATCACTCACAAACCGCTTGTGGACCGTAAACTATTCATTGAACTTCACAAGGAGTTTTACAGTATTCCAATTGTTTCGTTTGTAAATTATGTCGTAAGCCGACAGAGCACATATTAAATACATTACAACATTGATTTTTGGGACATTCAAAGCCGGTGGCAAGTAGACGCTTTTTGAGAGCCAAGATATCTTGGCGATTCGGCAACTTCGAATCTGAAAGATAGATAACATGAGGGTTACTGTAGGGTTACGGTTTCAGCTTAACCAATGGCCTTTTCTGAAGCTAATTGTGGAGCCGCCGTCGATGACTGAGATGTTGTGATTGTTGTTGTTGCTGCTTTAGATGATGTTGTCCCATGATCACATGATCGGCTTTCTAATCCACAGTTGGATTTTTCTTTGTCGCAGTCGCGGCGTCTATGCTGTATTCCATCATCACAATCTGTCCATTCGGTTTCGGTTTCATCGGCTAAGACTAGTTTTTCCGAACGATTTTCATCTAGAATACAAAGACTTTCATAATCAATCTTTAAGCTTTATTCTTGAGGAGAAAGCATGCAAATCAAAATAAGAAACCGAAATTTGTTGAAGCTGTACGACCACAGTCAATCTCAAAGTAATCGACGATGTCAGTGTTTTCTTCGGTGAAGAGATCTGGATAAGTACGTCGATTCTCAGTATTCAAGATGCAATTCAGGTTTGACTCCTGCAACATTCGTTATTCAAGTTGTTACTACACATAGATGCTTATGATATGAGCATGTATGAACCTCAAAGTAAAACATTCCACTTGTACAGTTAAAGCCGTATAGATGGAAGCTGTTCAAGCAGTTATCAAAGCATTGCTCAAAGCTACTCGAATCAGCCACATTCTCAGCAAACCCAACAAGTATCATCTGAGGGAATCGAGCAAAGGACGATTTGCATTGACTGAAATGGATTTCTCAACATCCAGCGAACGCCGATAAGCACTGCTTACTTTGTAAACTTTTCCGAAATACAGATTTTCTCGTAATAAAAACTGTCAGATTTTTGTTTTAATTGCCCTTCACCAACTGGTACAGCGGCTTCTTTCGTGAAGGCACACGTCTTCAATGAGAAATCGAATGAACGACAATCCAAACGCTCGCCGTTAATCTGTAAAATACAGTTCTCATCATTATACTCTCAAGCATTTGAAATATGTTTTCAACTTCATTGGCTTCACAGGCTACAGTGCATTCGTCCACGTTCTCTACTTGTAAGGTCAAGTCATCGTGTTTAAATAGCTCAAATCCCTCGGTTCGTAAGAATCTTAAAACCTCTTTGATGTTTCTTATGACCCATCATCCACCTACCCAGCCTTCTTGCCTATCGGGCACTGCTGACCAAAAGGTTCTGTAGATACTTTACTAGTGATTGCTGTAGAGTGGATAGGTGCTTTATCAGCTTCTAATGCTCGGACAGCAAGTTCAGGTATTGCAAAGTCTATATATGGAAAGAAGATTAAGAAGGCCATAAACGGTCTTACCATCAGTCTCATTGTTGTCCAGACATTGAATTGCTGATGTTGGTTCGAAATAGTCCCGAGTTTGGAATTTAAGAAGACGAGCAGGGGATTGGTCACCTACATGAGCGAAGAGATCACAAACCTTCAAAGAGAGACATGATGGTAGTTACTAACTACAAATGAACCTGATTGATATTATCAAAGACGAATGAACGACAACTATAAACTCCGGATTGGCTATGTAGACAATGAGATTTGCATTTGATCAAAGACGTTGATGATCTAAAAACTTTATTCAAATTTTTCATTATTTTATTATAAATTGACCTTCGCTCATATGGTTGCGCATTCACCACTATACAATTGGCGTAACGTCTGAAGCAAGGGTCACCTAGAAAATTTCTTTTTTCTTTCTCATTTCTTTCTTTTTCAGCCAAATTTACTCAAATCCGGAATTCCGGCAACAACTTGACGATCATCATCTTGATCTCGACTAACAGGCGGCGAATCAGCTTTTCCCTTGTTACTTTTCGGACTACCGTATGCTCCACCTTTATTTGATAATCTAAATGGGTTGTTATCGTTTGGATCCTAAAATGAGAAATCAGGCTATTTGAATGGAAAAACTGTCTGACTGGAAGGAAGCGCAAGTTTTCCATTCGTTCTTCAGTAGTTGGTCGATGTAGAAAGCTTTTCATGAGATCATTGGCCTTAATAGGACACTAAGAGGTTAATCAAATCAAAAATCAAAATGAAACCTCAGGAAATTGTTTGTTGCCAGAGGCGGTATCGGCCTGATTTCTGCGAGAAAAACGAATTGGAGGAAGTAAATAAAGAAGAAGATCTTACAACAAGTTTTTCCTGGATGTGATATCTTCGAGGAATTGTCCAAAAATGGCATTTGAGAGGAGAAGCATGAAAGAGCAAAAGCTTAATAGGGAGAGTAATGAGATGAGAAATGAAACATGACAAACCGTATCATATTTAATAAATAATAATAATAATAAATAGTTATGTGAGGAAAAAGATGTTGAGAATGAGGAAAGAAGGACGATGCGTCTGGCTCCTCCTCTCTCCATCATCTTTTCATTTCCAAGAAAGGAATTGAGGATAATTGAAGGTTTTGACTATTGTCATCTCTCTCTCTCTTTCTCCCTCTCTCCCTCCCTCTCTCTCTGTGTCTCTCCCGTATTCTCTCCTTATCCTCTATTTGAGATATGTGCATTGAAGAGTAGAAAAATGAAAAAATGTGTTTATACAATATATAAGAATGATGAATATTGTAATTGTAAAGCATGAACATATAAATATACAACAGTATCTGAATGTGTAAGCTTGAGTCTGAAGCTTATACAGCTTAAGACGTTCGATGAAAAACTGAAGTGCACATTGCCCTCATCGGCCTTTCTGATATCAATTTGAAAGATATTAAAATCACTCTAGGTATTATGTAATTCTCATGAACAATATAGTTAAAGTCGTAGTTTGGCATTTGGTTCAGGTGCTCGATCATCATTGACGACCAGATTCAATGCGCCATAGCTATCAACTGTAAGAGAGGAAGTGCAAGAGCTTATCCACGATCACACATACCTGTATGAATTGAAATGTTATTATCGAGATCAGATGGACGATATGTCATATAGCCAATGATGGTTGCCAGTATTGATAGCAGCTTGCATACAATAGCTTAATATATAGTGATTTATATTGATTATGCTAATTTATATACTAACCAACAGCTGTTATAGTCCATGATAGTTTAACAGGATCATAGACAAGACAACTCGTTTGTCGACCACATGATGATTCCCATTCAAGACAAGCCGTATCAATCATCATTCCAAATAATATTCCACCAGGAATGAATCCTTCAATATGAAAAACGTTATTCTGTTCTCATCCTATTCTCATCTTCAATTTAAAAAACTTTCTCGATTTGTTTGACAATCTTCTGACTCAGCTCTCGTCTCACCTCCTCTTCCTCACTCAATTAATTTTTAATGACTGCCGGAAGGTGAAAGTGAAAACTCAATTCTCACTCTCTCTCTCTTTCCCTCTCTTTCCCATTCTCTTGTAATCCTCACGAACCTAAGAGACGGAGGAAAGTCCAATTAATACCCAAAGCCAATGTACGCTGGTCAAACGGTACAACTCGAAGCATTATCTGAAAAAAGAAATTGGTTTTTCTCGGAAACATTTCGAAAACCTGTTGTTGAGGAATGCCTGAGGCAAAGCTGGCAACTACGGTAATGAACAACATGGAAAGGAGCACATAGGCGGAATATCCACAGTCCTGAATAAGGATATAGTATAGGAAGCGCTAAGATATCCAAACCTCTTGACAGTATCCTGGAGTAGCAACTACTGGAGCTGCAGATTCATTTGATGCACATGAGCAGTCCAACCATGTGACCTTGAATCATTCAAAGCTAACAAACAAATTTCAAAAACTGAACAAACATTTCCATTTGTCTTAGTTTTACAACCTGCAAAACAGGGTGAAAAGTATATTTTCTTGTCCGCACAGATGGGATTCCATTCCTTTGGACAATCACAATTGGCATTACACGTGTCTTGAATATCAAATTCGACGTTACGTGTAATTTCTCTGAAATGAAAAAAAAGTATAATAATAAGATGTTTTTATAAATATCCGGTTAGATGCTTAACACCACGTGGCACGTGACATCCACGTATTACGTGAGAACAAAAGAAAAGTCATTTAAATGCGTACGTCGCTGTGAATCGGTTGTAAAAACAAAAGGCAGTCTCAATGATTCAAGCTGTTCAGGTAAATGTAAGAGAGTGTATGAGAAAGAGAGAGAGTGAGAGAGAGAGTTGAAGAAGAACAATAAGATGTTCAGATACGGTGAAGCATCTTGACAAGTGTTAGTATGAGTATATGTGTTATCATAAATTCGCACAGGTAACTTACAAATCATTATATCCCATGTTAATGCCAGCGAACTTTCGTTGTGGACAATGAACTAACATTCCTGTTGTGAATATTAAAGCAATTATATGACAACAGACAATCATTTTCAACATTCCACCAACCTTAAATAATTCTTTTTGTTTATATTTAAATTAGAATACACTTAATTACTTGTAATTTTAATTGTCTAATGATTGTTCCACCAACCATAACTCCTATTGCTGCAGCAAATATAACAACAGCTGTTAGAATAATAATAATAATAACATATAAATAGCATAATTAGCCTTACATGATAAGTATGATGCTATTATTGGAGTTGTTGATAACAATGTTTCCAAGATTTTTGGCATAAAAGCTGCGAACCCGTTGATGATGATTGATTCGAATATGCCCAAACATATGCAGACGATGAATGTCGGATTTCGACAGATTTTCTAATATATAACAAGTTATTCATTATTACACAAAACACTCTATGAGTTAGCTTACAACTATAACTGCTGGTAAAGCTTTCACATCTGTTGGAGCTTTCTCATTCACATCACCAGTTGCCGCATGACACTACATATATCAATTGGGATTAGAAAGTAGCATTTTCTGTAACATACCTGATTCACGTCTTTAGCTCTAAGTCTTTTAGCTTCAGGTAATTGACGAGCAAAACCTAATATGGGAAATGCTATGATGAATGCTGCTATGGAAGAGGCTAAGAATCCAATCCACCAAGCTCCTATCCATCTAGGATCTGATCGATCGATTGGTATACTGAAATATTTTTTTTGCGATACCTATTGGTAAATCCTAGTTATAATGGAAAATAAGAATTTATTGTAGTTTTCTCCGTATGTTGTTGGAGTTTGCTATTTTAAGTAATCAAATTTCAAAAAATGATGACAGTTGGGTTAGAGGGCAGAGTTCACAGAGGAACCGTGGCTCATGAAGAAGTTCATAGTTGGTACAACAGACTTCTTGGTTCAACTCCTGTCAAATGATTACAGTATATTTGCTACTACAGAAGAATTAATGAAGTGACTATCGTATGATGGCATTATCTTTTGATAAATTTTATTTTATTTCAACAGATTCATATCCTTCGTATGTTCATGTCTTTTCTCGTACAAGCGTAATGTCCTTGTGGCTCAACGAGAAGTTGTTACTTAGAACAAGGAACTTCTTGGTTCAATGCCTGTCAGATGATTACAGATATTTGCTACTCCAGAAGAATTAATGTAGAGACTAACGTATGATGGCATCATATTTTGATGAATTTCATCTGATTTCATCAGTTTCAAGCAATTTCGAAGTTACAATTGAACTTTCAACTCGCGAAAGTATGATATGTGTGAAATGGTAAAGTAGTTGGAAGAAGAAACTATAAAAAGGAAATGGAAGTCCTTGAGAACTTACTGATCAACACGATCGATGTCGTCGTAAAAATTAAGAAGAAATCCACCTGCGAACACACCGATTACGGGTCCAAAAGATGTAAGTACAGCGTGAATTGCTGAACAACATAATTTATGAACTTAGATAAGATGTAAAAAGGAAAACTTCACTCACCAAGATAGACAGGTGAGGCTTTCTGAGACACATTCTCATCTATGAATGTCGTTCCGATAGAGAACAATGGTGTTGAGCCGAAGCCATGCAAACTTTGACCCAAAATAAACATTAAGAAGTATGGATTCAGATATGATGATACTGGATTCGCTGGACATTGCTTTTCATGTAATATTCTGTAAAAGGGCAAAAACGCAATCGATTGTTACATCTTACTCATCATGACGTACCGATGAGAGCATTGCCCGAAATCAGTTGAATTAGAACTGACTTCTTCAACCTGATAAACATCAGACATCCAATGAGGTAGAGCACAAATTAACGAGCCGATAGCCATCACAATGCCACCCCAACCAATCCATCGACCCTTGTGACCTGTAGGAAAACAAAGTTTCTTTCAGTCTTCTGTATAGTGTGAAGCGTTCTTTCACGAATTCTGAAACGTACCGCTATTTCCCCAATGGCAAACAGGAAAAACACATAGTAAGACGGCAAAGTCGTACCACGATGAAATGATTCCAGTGTGGGTACTGAACGACTGATCACTTCACACATCATATATGATAATGCATACCTCGTCATCTTGAATCGCTTCTCTAGCGTTGACAAGCCAACAGGGAATATGGCATTTACTACGAAACTCTTAAAAGAAGAAAGAGAAGCAGTATGTCATGGATTGAGAGAGAATGATTCAAATGGCTTACCTGAATGAAGGCACATAAGCCCAGCATGAGCAATAGATATTTGGAATTATGGATGGGCTGAAGCCATCGAGGTGTACAACTTGAAGAAATTCAGATTAAAGTTGTGAAAAGGACTAGAGAACCTTCCATATCCACATAAGAGGGGCTGATCATCTTCTTTGTCTTTCAGATCTTCATCAGAAGCATCGAAATCAGCTGTATTGTACCGTTCCATACAGCTGAAAGAGAACTGTCTCTTTGTAGAAAACAAGAGAAAGCATCGAGATAGTAAGAATGAATGAGATTAGGATAGAGAGATGGACAGAGAGAGAGAGGGAATGAGAAAGGAAGTGAGAAAGAAGAAGAGATTGAAAGAGAGAGAGTGATAGAAGAGAAGAAGAAGCTGTTCATCAGGAAGCTTAGAAGAAGAACAGAAAAAAGAGAAAATGTGTGTCTTTCCTTTTTAAAGAAGAAAACAAACTGACAGCAAATCATTTGCTTCAAGTTCTCGTTTATAATGTGATTTATAGAAAGAAAAATTGATGTGTGTAAACATCTCTTTTAAGAAGATGAGGACAATTAACGTAAAGGGCAGATCATTAAGAAATAATTTTACTCCTTTTTAACTTTTTTTTTGATTATCACTCACACACTTACACACATGCACACACACACACACACACATGTGGATGTAGGTACACTTACACGCATGTAGACAGTAGACATACAGACAGGCACACGCAAACTATCTTCTCACTCACAACGCCTTCACCTACTCTTACCTACTACCACTACCACTACTACTTTCAGTCCTTTACCGCCTCTGGCTCTTCTAGTTTCTCAAGACCTCCCTTTCTTCGGTTAAAATGTGTCTTTTGAGTAAAAACGAGTTGAAACAATGAACAAAATGAACAAAAAAGGACATTTGGTGATGAAAAAAAGAAATTTTTTTGATCGTCTGATCATTATGTTGAAAGGAAAACATTCAAAAACAGTTTTTGTTCTTTGACAACATTCCATCTCAATCGTCTTCCCCCCCCCCCTTCCACAACCATCTCGTCACCCCCCTTGTCCCTTCACCCCCACCACCATCCATCCAGACTTGGAATTCTTCATTTTTGAGCAATTTTCGAGAGAATAAAGACCAGTTGGAACTTCATTTTCATTTTCAAAAAAAATATTTAATGAAATTACCTTTCATTTCTAATTTCTTCCTCACTCTCACCCTCTCTCTGTTAACACCTCTGACTGTGTTGCTACTGTTAGCCTCTCCTATCGCTAATACTTGCATGACGTCTATTATTGATATTCTAACTCTCTTAACCTTTTTTCAAACTAATTCGTGTTGGAAGGTCTCTCTCAAGTTCGCTCATCTCTCACCCTCACACCTCCTTAAAAGGCCAATTGTGTTAATAAGGAAGATTAAAAAATAAAAAAATGTACTCAAACAAAAGACAATTTTTGACCATTTAGCAGTTATAATCATCAATTTACCATTTTTGTTCAATAAACTCGTCCATACATGGTAATTAAGAGGGAAGGATGAAGGATAAAGAGATTATAAAGAGAGAGAGGGAGAGTTAACGAGGGAGTAAGAGAGAGAGAGCGAACAGAGGAGAATCACATGGTTGATGAGAACTGCAAATGAAAAAAACGATCAAAATTTGAAAATACGGACTTCTCTTTCGACGTTATAGTTATACAGAGGGAGAGAGAGAGAGAGGTAGAGAGAGAGAGAGAGAAACATTTCGATTTGAAGAATCTGTGGATTGATTTCATGAAAATATATTTTTGTATTTAAGAAGAGTATCTTTGATGCCTTATTCCAATTGTCGTTTCCAAAAAAGGCTAATTTCATGAAATCTTCTTCCTTAACGGCAGGCAATGGAGAAGAGAAAAACAAAATTTTCTTCATTTCAATCAAAACTATTTGAGAAGTAAATACACAGTCGAAGACGTATCCAAGAAACATCCATCTTCCACACCCATACACACACACACACATCATACACCTTCTACTTACCAATGTTGCAAAGTGAGAAGATTGACAGAGACACAAATAGGAGAGAGAGAGAGAGATAGAAGAGATGATGTACAAATGCAAAATGTTGTTGAATTTTTGAATTTTTTTTTCTCGGACTTTCTGCATTTGACCGATTTCGTCGTCATAGATGGGCAGACGATCTTATCGAAGTTATTAGCTTGTCGAAATTGGAAACAAGGTCAGTATAAGCCAAGATTGAGGAGGAAAGCGAGGAAATGACCAGTGATCATCTCATGTGTGGCAAAGCAATACGAAGACGTTTCCCTATTACCGAACTTATAGACGACGACACACCTTTTCTTCACAAAATTTATCGTTCGGACACCATTTTTGGAGATGAAACTATGTGGTGAGAAAGCCGTCAAGAAGAAGAAGAAACAAAAAAGGTGAAAATGTCGAGCTGAATGGATTGGAAATGGAGAAATGAGTTTTTGATGGCCAAAAAAGATCAAATCAATTTAAAAATCAAACAGAAATTGATTTTGAAATGGAAAAGCTGTGGAGAAAAAAAAAAGAAAAGCAAAAACCGGATGGCAATGATGGTAGAGGTGGTGGGTCATCTGTGTGACCGCGGACGTGATGATGAAGTTGAAACTGACAAGCAAAATGAGAGAAAATATAGAAAAAGAGCTGAAGAATGTTATTGGATGACTAGAATATGTCCTTGGAGTAACCTTCTGAAGACGAGAATGGCCAGTAGCTGAGAATGATGGCGCTGGGTATGGTCGTCAGTTTGTCGCAGTTGCGAGTTCAGTCAGAAATGGAGATGGTTCTCTCTCTCTCTCTTTACACGTACAATCCTTAGCGTTAGCATGCAAAAAGAGAGAGAGAGAGAGGAAGAGAACCACACAGAGGGAGAGAGAGAGAGAGAGAGAATGAGAGAAGTGTGTAAAATTTTTTTCAGATTTTGGCGAATGCAAAAGAAAAGTTTTCATACTTTTCTTGGCATCAATTGAAGACAGCTTCAGCAATGACGATCAACGACGACGACGACGACGACGAGGTTGATGATGAGAGAAGTTCCGAAGAGATGGAGAAGAACAGAAATAATTGATAAAATTGAATATTAAAAGAGAAACTTTTTTTTCTATTTTGAAGGAAGTCGACGGATTAAAATAGAAAACATTTCAATTCGCAAAACGATTTTAACTGTTTTAGTTGATCGTCGTCATTGTCGTCGTCGTCGTCGTCGTCGTCGTTGTGGTTGTGGTTGTGTGTCGTTAGAACAATGATGATGCAGACGTCGTCCAATAAGAAGTTGAAGAGACTATGAACATGAAGATTGGAAGACAAAAACGAAACAAAAAGTTTTTAAATTGAAATTATATAATTTCGTTTGTTTTTCACATTTACAAAATTGAACTTCATCATCATATTGCTGTCGGAGAGAGGGGGGTTGAGAGAGTTGTATGTTGCATGTCGTCGTCATCAGTTGTGAATGGCACAGAAGAAGAAGATGATGATGATGATGATGATGTAAGCTATCTATGGATATCAGCATAGATCCAAATATGGAAATTGTCAAATAAACAGCTGATTTAAGAAGATATTAAGGAATAGAAGAAGATGATTATATACATATGGAAAAGATGATTGATTAGAGATCTCTTCCTTATATGTCAGCTATTTGCAATCGATTTAATAAGGAAGGAAAATAAATGAAAATTATATTTTTCGAATGCCAACAGATCATGTTTGATGCAGAAGATGCTATACTACATGTATGTGTATGTGTATGTATATGGATGTGTTGAAGAGAAGACACATCACGTACACATACATCTAGACAATTCATTAACTGACATCAGAATATCAGATTGAAAAGTTAAAACTTCAATCATATACTTTGTCATTTAGAATTATCACATCTCTTCTTATCTGGAATTAAAGACAACAAAATATATTTTCGAATGGAACACACAGTTTATCTAACAAGACGGCACTTCTATGATGTTAAGATGGAAATCAGAGAAATAAGCGAAATGACTTTGATAGGAACTGGCCTTTCATAGTTTCGAGAGAGAGAGACGATAAGAGAAAGAAAGAATACATAGAATGATTAACATAGAGAGAGAGAGACATAACTAGAGAGAGAGAGAGAGAGAGTTGACAGACTCAATGAGAACTGTTAAAGAAAGCGAGAGATCATTAATTATTGGAAGGGAGTCATGATCAAACACTTCCCATACCGGAAACAAGTCAATTCTCATCTTACTTTTCACAACATTATACAGTTGCGGCTGTGTATCAATGATGATGCTGCTGATGCTGATGCTGATGACGATACTGATGCTTCTCATTTCCATTCTCACCCTCATCTATGAACATCATGTATGACAAACTTTTTATTTACATGTACATCAATATTATTTTTATAAAAAACATAATAATAATAAACAAACAATTTATTTTATTTCTCTGTCTTCTCAATCATCCCGCATTCGGCTCTTGAACAGCATTTTAATTAATTTTCGAATGTCATTGTCAACGGTCGATGATTTGTCTCTGCAGATGAGATTTTTACGATTTTTGTACGGTAAGATACCAAGAAAAAAAACCTCATGAATAACCATTTATGGAATTTCTCGAATTCTTTTTCATCAAAAGCTTCTGGATGCTGTGATTTTATGTCTTTGATTGAATAGTTGCTGGACCAATAATTCTCGCCGAATCGAGGCTTTGTCGATCTGATTGGCCGAGGTGATACTACGCCAATGCGTGATGCTTCTGCAACAATATATATGCAAAATTATATATTTTTTATATTTTAAATAAAGCTGTAAAAACCTGGTTGTATAGCTTTTCGTCCCGTTCCAGCTGCTGGAGTTAGAGTTCGTCGACGAGCTCCAAACACAAATTTATCGCCGGCCGATCGAGATCGTCTCATCCCGTGAGATGAAGAAGAATGTAAAGCTTCAAAAGCAAATCAATGAATATGAAATTTTAATTATTTATTATTTTATAAGAGAGAGAGAGAGAGGGAGGAAAAAAATGTTTTACGGCCATTTTTATAGTCTCCAACGATGGTAAACCAATTAATTTGCATACGCAAGGCTTTACGTGAAAGCTGACGTGACGTGACTGATACACGTGACGCTCATCTTTCATGTTGTTCACACGTTTAGAACGGTTGTTTTTCCCTTTTTTTCTCTTTTTTTTTAAAAGAGAAACAAATCATAAAAAATATGAGGATTTATGCAAATTTCATGTAAAATCGTGAAGACGAAAAGTCAAAGAGAGCAGAAAACTCACGTGATGATTGTGGCGAAATCTGTTCTTTCTGCGAATCTGTCATTTCTGAAAACATGGATGTGTCTAACAGAATGGAGAAGAGAGAGAATTGTATAATGTACGTTACAAGCTCAAGCTGTTTCTATGACGAAGAAGCGTTTTTTGTGCCTTCCAGGCTCATGAGAAACGAGCTTCTCGATGATGCTGCAGCAGCACGAAAGTTCAATGAATTCAAAAACTGTTTAGATTTCTATTGGAATGTCAAAAGACTATGATTTCAGTTGCGTTGGGTATTAAGAAAAAATGATAGATGGGTCTTATAGAGAGAAGACGAAAGCGATTGAATGAGTGTGGCATACAGAGAGAGGGTGGATGAGAGAGAAGAAGAGAAAAGATGAGAGAGAGGGAGGGAGAGAAGAAACTTTATGTTGTTAAAAATAGATTTTGAGACCTATGAACGATCCATATTTGGCATCATAAGCTTTGAGAGTTTGTAGTCAGTTGACTCTGAAGGCATTTTTATATGAAAAGAAAGAAGAAGAGAGGAAGAGAGGAAATGCATATGAAATGGCAAAAAAAAAACAAAAAAAATAAACAAATGAGGAGAAGATGGTAAGAATGATAACGGAGAGAAGAATGAAATTGGGAGAGTAGTTTGATATAAAATGGAACAAAAAACGGCGGAGGAGAAGAAGAAGATGAAGAAGAAGAGGAAACAATGTGAGCTTCTGGAGTACATCAAAGAGACGATTGAGATGAATGAAAGACATTTGAAGCAAAAAAATGAAAAGCAGAACTTAGAGGAGATGGGTGGAAAAGACAAATTTTATAAACATATTGAAGTTTTCCTTTCTCCCTCCCTCCCTCTCTCTCTCTCTTTCTCTCTCTTTTTGCATCTGCTGAGTCTTCTGAATGAGCTTCATCTGCTTTCTGCTTTTTCTTTTTTTTTTTCGGTCGAAAATTGTCAAAATTAGTATTTGGTAGGAAATGTTTTGTGGGGTGTTTAACAAATTATTCTGTCAAAAGAATACTAAGGATGAAGCTGAAGACGATGAAAAAGCTGACGAGAAAAAAGGATTGAGAGCCATTTGTAAGTCTTCAATTGGATGAAAAATGGAAATTCAATACTCGCGGACAAGACTCGCAAAAGCTTGAAAATGTTTTTCAGATTTCTGATGGGCAATGACGACGACGTCGTGATGACGAAGCCTGCGCCATGTCAACTAATGGACATCTCCCCCCCCCCCTCCAACCCCTCTTCATCTTGCTCTCCTATATACAATGTCCTGCTGCCATCGGGATGGTGCAGATGAAAAGGACATAGCTAATTATAATGCGTATTCGTTCGTTGATGACGATAACAAAGTTTGAAAATGAGGAGATCACAAGTGATTGGAGAAACACGCTCATGACAGGAAATGCTTCTCTCGGACTGTCTCTGCTCAAGACGAGTCCGACAAGTTGCAGCTGTGAAAAGGAGCTTGCTGCTGACGGCCAAGAACTGTCTAAGGCGAGGAGGAAAGGATAATTCTCAAAGACAAAAGGAGAGCGAAATCGGAGAGATCAAAAATGAAAGAAGAAGTAGGAGAGAGAGAGAGAGGGAGAGAGAGAGAGAGAGAGAAAGGAAGAGACAATCGTAAAGTTCAAATAAAAAAAAACTTTTTTTTCAACCCAAACTCATCTGACGTTCTTTTATGGGCTAAGATGAAATTTCATTTTGTCTTTGTTGATTTAAAACATTTTACACCTTTTTTATACTTTTTGTATAAATTTTGACTTTTATTTCAAATAAATAATTAATTTGAATATTCCGTGGGAGCTTTTCTTTACCCAAAAAAGGATGTTATCGCATGGTGTTATGTCAAGGACAAACTATAGTTGATCTCACAACTCTCCCTATCCACTACTTTACCCTCTTCTTCCTCTTCCATCCTCCCCTCCTGTTGGCCGTTTTTTAATTCATAAAAAATAAATTGTTTATTTACTCTCTCTCTATCTCTCTCTCTCTGTCTTATTCTCTCTTTCTTGCATTCTCTTTCTCATCAGTTCAACAGAGCTTGTTTCCTTCCTCATTCTCCATTTCCGTCTTATCATCACGTTGTGAATCATTTTTTTGTGACTGTTAGCGTAGGTGAAGGGGAATTAGCTTATGATGCCATGAGAAGAGTATATGGAGTGAAGAGAGGGGACAAGAGATAAACTCATGTGATGACTCATGTGATGAGAAAAGAGGACAACCATCTTCTCTCATTTCTCCTTTTCTTTCGCTAGCGACCGACCGATCGACCGGATTAGCATATGGACGAACCCCAACACATCGATTTCCTTAGAAACTTCATATAATACATTTCCATTTTTGTTCTTTTCTTATTAATTTCTTGTAGAAACATGTCAGCTTATGGACATCTAGCTGGAGATCGCATCGAATGCTTCAGCCTTGCGGTGGAATTGAAGAAAGAAGAAGTTCATTAAAACTTTGTTCGTACTCATCATCAATGCTCTTCTCTCATTAAGGTTTACGATGAGTATGGAGCTAAACATTTTCGAGTTGGATTCAAAATTGGTGGAGGAATCGATCAGGATCCGTTAATGGCTCCTTTCCAATATCCTGACACGGTTTATATTTCATAACTTTATAATTACATTATAATTGCCTTAGGGCATATACATAACCCATATTGAAGCCAATTCTCCAGCGGAACGAGCTGGCTTGCAACAACATGATAAAGTTCTGAGGGTAATAGGCATTCTTGATCAGCGATTCCATATCTAATTGACTTATAGGTGAATGGAATTGATTTCACCATGCTCACACATCACCATGCAGTCAAGTACATAATGAAGTTCGAAGTATTAAACATGTTAATCGCTCGATCAGATATTCCCCCTCTACGGTAACTATCTGTATCAACATCCACACACTCTCTCTCTCCCTCTCTCTCTCACTCTTTCTCACTGTTAACTAATAATTGTTTTAATTGACGGGTTGTCATCTTATTGTTCAAAATCAGCTTATCATTTTTTTTTCGTTTTGTCATCAGACCGGTCGTACTCACCACTCCTCTCGACCACACAAGCATGCATTTCAAAGGTTTCAAATAAAATTTCTTTCATTTTCCTCTTCAAAATTACTTTTTCAGTTTTTTTTATTTTTTTATTCATTAATATTGTATTCACAACAGAATTGAATGATGCTAAGAGAGAAGACATTCGCATTTCATTTACTCGCAACTACACCACCTCGGTACGATGGCAACATGTATACGACAACCTAACGTCTTTTAAGTTTCCTACTTGTCCTATAATGCTCAACAGAAACTATCAAAGAGTGAAATTTCATTTTGGGAGGTCTCGTTTACATTACACAACATCATATGTATGAGTATCGGTTATTAAGAGAAATTCCAATACTGCCAATAATCGTCTCCGTTTGCTCTTTGCTCCTCTTATCAACCTACATACAAGAACTGATGCAGGAAGACGCAAACTCACAGGTTTTTCTTTCCTTTTCAGACAATCATGTTTGCTTTCTGTTCAGAAATTGGAAAACGTCAAACCTCTTGGAGAAGCGAATGATGGCAAAGCTTTACAAACATCTAATTAGAATCAATCTTGATTGTCATAGGAGAATAAATGAGTAGGGGATTATCACTAGTGTTAACGGGAATCAAAGACAGAACTCAAAGTTAGTGGACGGTGTGAATAGGCTACAAGACTACTCATTCCCAGTAACCACGGAGAGAGAGAGTGAGAAAGCTGCCAACACTTAGGAATTAATGTCTCGTAAAGTGTCAGGGTGACAAATAACAATTGAATTTCAAGAGAAGTATGGTTCACGTATCTTTCACGTAACTGTATTGCGTAAACGCAACCAATTGGAATTCAATTGATCACGTGCGTAAGAGGAATGAACGGTTGTAAAAGCAATTCCTCCATCTCAGGAATGGAATTGAATGAAGCAATAGAAAAGAAGTTTAATAGAAGTTAATTACTCAAACTGTTTACATCGATTCAATCTAATACGATAATAACATTCAAACGAAAATCGATAGGACTATCTTGGAATCTTGAAGAAGAGGTGGCATGTGCACAGCTGAGACTAGATCAAAAGGTAGCAAAAATTGTTTTTTTGGAGAAAAAAAGCGAGACGGCTCTTCTCTATTGGGAGAGCTTTTGAGCTACTGGACTACTTCCTCATTAATAAGCTTGTTTCTTGCTCACACTCCGTGAACTCCGATGCATAATTGGTAGACTTCTTTGATTCGCTGCTCAATTTTCACAGCATATATGAACTTATGAATATTCCCATACAGGTCAGACGTCTGTTGTTCTTTGATCCTTCTACGGAATTCACAATGCTCAAAAGCTTATTTTTTTAGTAACCATCAATGTTATATTCATGTAAAAAGGGGTATTTGAGAAAACTATATACATTTCCGGTTGAATCAAACGGTTTCGGTGAAGATAGCCTGCCGCCACAAACAATTCTAGGATTGAGACGCGCTCCACTGCTAACTAGTCGGCGCGAATTATAAATATGGTTAATGTTTGAATGCGCAGTGAATATCGTTTAATATTTTGATGCTTTTTTGGAAATTCCCTTATTTGTTTGTTATAATAGAAACATCTTGCCAATTGCAGATATCTCCGTTTTTTTCCGACAATGAGTGCCAGCGAAGAATGCAAGGAAAATTTAAATAATGCTGACAATGTTTGTTCCTCTTTTGAATTTCTGAGTTTGTTGTGTTCAGGTAAGTAAACCACAGGTTGCCGCAGTCCCTTCAAATTGTAAAGAATCAGCTCCTGCTCCCAGTGAAGGGAAAAAGTATGTTATACCGTTAGTTCTCAAGATGTTAATTGGTTTTAGAACTTCATGGGTTTTGAATGATTTTGATGTTGGCCGTCCATTGGGTAAGGGTAAATTCGGATCAGTGTTCATCGCACGGGAGAAAAGCACTAAATTCGTTTGCGCCTTAAAAGTAAGATTGATTGTTACGGAATTCTTATCTCATATCGTTGATAGGTGTTATTCAAAAAGCAGTTGAAGAAGTTCGGAGTAGAACACCAAGTTAAGCGGGAAATTGAAATTCAATATCACTTGAGGTATACTTCATCATTCGATATTCGCTGTAGTTTTATTTCTCAGACATCCCAATATTCTTGCATTGCATGGCTATTTCCATGATTATGAACGTGTTTACATTATTTTACAATATGCTGAGAAGGGTGAACTCTATGGGTACATGAAGAAGCAGAAGAAATTCTCACCTATGGAAGCTGCTCAGTGAGTTCTTTCAATACGTGCAGAGGGATGTTCTTTCATTTCAGTTTCATTGCTCAATTAGTCCATGCCTTAGCTTATTGCCATTCCAAGACTGTTATCCACAGAGATATCAAGCCTGAGAACCTCTTGATCGATGACCATTATAATCTTTTGGTAACGGTTCTTCCAGCTTTGTATGTTATCGCCAATTTCCAGCTATCTGATTTTGGATGGGCTGTTATCTCTAACAATTCCAAGAGAGATACTTTATGTGGTACATTAGACTATTTGGCGCCAGAGATGACTTCTGGAAAGCCTCATGATCATAACGTGAGTCCTGAGTGTTCAGATTTCTAAATGTCGCACATCTTGTAGGTTGACATCTGGGCCGTTGGTGTTCTCCTGTACGAGATGTTGTGCGGACGAACTCCATTCGAACGTAAACAACAAGATGAAACTATTCAAATGATTAAGAAATGCAGATTTTTGGTAAGTTCAGTTCTAGAATCTCAATGTTGATTGTCTGTGCTCAGATTCCTTCTGAATTCCCTCCTACTGCAGCTGATCTCATTCGCAAAATTTTGGTTCTTGAACCATCGGAACGGTATCTCACACTATCTCGGACTGGCGAATAATCCTATTCGTTTCAGTTTACCTTTAAAAGATATCTGTACTCATCCTTTCATTGTCGAAGAAACTGGCTTTACTGACATGACTAATTTACGAGCCAAACTACCACCTTCTAAAGTGAGTCTCGCGTTTATCCTAATCAGCTTAATGTGATCCGTTTCAGTTTATCTTACAAATGAAAGCTGATGGCCAAAACAAGCCAGCCACAATGAAGCCCTCCACGGTAAGCTTCATCATATCACGTCATACATATGATGTTTGTTTAGTTAGATAATGTGCCTCCTAAGCAAGTAGTTCCATCTGTGGACTCTGCCTCTATTTTGAACGCTAGAGAGATTGATCCTAATCAATTAGTAAGGGAACTGTATGTTTGAATATCATGCAGAGCTTGTTTCAGCCAGGATACCGAGCTCCAAGTACATCTGCTGTGACTAAGGCTATGGCAGCTGCATCCGTTTCAGATAAAGAAGATACAGATTGCTAATTTCATCTTGCTAACATTTGATTTGATTTCTTTCCTAACATCGTGCAATGATAGTCATTTCCATAAAAGAATTGTCGCGTCCTTTTTCAGCGACCTAATGTATTCATATCCGTATTTGGAGTTGTTTCGTTGCATATACTAGCCTTAATGTTTTTTTTGTAAGATGAAAGTTGGGTAATGTCATTATTTTCTTGAAAAATGCACATGTTTTCATTTTATTCATAGCAAATATACCTGTATGAAGTTTTAAACAATTTGATTTCAATGTTCAATAACACTTTGATCGCGAACTTGATTATCTACAACACTCAACGCACACTCCTACATCCCTAAGGTTATCGTACAATGGCAAGCTTATCTCAATTCCTCTATCCAAGTTAAAAGTTATGTACACTATCTAATGGCTATACATGGATATCGTATATATGTAATTCCCGTATTTGGCTGACTGATCTGATCCTCTTCAAATCGAATATAAATAATAGGCGATGATTGTTGATATCACAACAATCAGTTGCAATGAACTCCACGAAATCGTAATGCAATCGTTTGAACTCTTCTGCAACTCTAAGTTCTCGCATTTCAACTGCGAATTCCTACGAAGTTCATCTTGAAGTTGTTTTTGTACCTAAACTAACATTTGTCAAGACGCATCAGTTTTCACTCTCGTCTACCTTGGACACATATTCTAGGGCATCTTCCCATTGTTTCAATAACTGTTCGTTTTGTAATTCCAGACGTTCTCGGTCTACTAGTGCCTTAAAGAAGTGATTGTTGGAGTTTCATATCAAGTTTGATTTGAATGATTGATGTAAGATGACGTGTAGAGTTTAAAGCTATCTATCACTGGTCTAACGGATTTGACCGATGTCGCCATCAGGTTCAAATTACATCATAGTCTCTCTTTAACCCTTTTTTTGTTTCCGACTTTGCATACTAACAGAGTTAAAGAGAGGAACAACAGCTGGATTTTTCAAATGAAACAACATTCGAACCTGTTCTAATCTATCCCTGTATCCATATTCGTCGTTGTGAGGGGAGAGTCTGCATTTAGAAGTTGTTGGAGAGAAACGCACATTCTCGATTATGGTAATCTCATTATCACTACTCATAGATTCCTTTAAAAGCTTTGTTACATCTCGTATGTACACACGACTGCCTACCGCATCGAACTTACTATCCGACGTATCGCTCTCGAGTATTGAAATGAGATGACTCTGTTCGTAAATCAAGCGCTCTTTTGCTTTGATCTCCTCTTCTAATTGCTCTATCACATTCTCCCTCATCTTCACCTGCAAACAACTAGTTCTTTAAGGTTGCGGACACTGATGAAAAGGTATGACGAGAAGAGAATAGAACTAACCTTGTCGGTGGTGTGGGCCAACTGTGTTTCCAAACTGGCGATTTTGATGAGAATATCAGATGTTGTCATAACTGAAAATCGAATTGTAGACAATTACTCATTTGTTCTGAATAATTAATGGATATGAGAGAAAAAAACTGGTCTTCAGGTGTACTCAGGCGACAATTTTGTTTGAAGAGAGGACGTGAGATTTGGTGATATGCTTGTAAATGACGAGTGGAATGAAAAACAAAGATTTTCTCGTTAATTCTCTAATGACGAAGGATCATTCGCCTTCGTTCACAAAATTGGAGATTGGATAGGTAGGAAAGGAGGAAGCTGCCTCTAAGGCTGCTGCATTTCTTTTGAGGAATCACACGACACACTCAAGAGTCGCGAATGATTATAAAACAAGCTGGTATTGATTGAGATCATTAGAACAAGCTGGAATTCAGAGGTCAACAACCCTAACAACAACCTCAAAAAGAAGTGGAAAGACATATCTAATAATGTTTGTTTACCATGATGATAACATAGCAAACTGATTAGCTTAATGACAGGGCACACATGCGGCAATATGGTTGGCTGTTGTTGACGTTGTTTGCCTTTATTGGATTTATAATCCTGTTCGCATTATGCTCAACCTTCGACTAAGCGGAAATGAGCATGAAGCTCAGTCAAGGATGGAAAATGACTCATGACTTAACTACGTCACACATAAGATTCTTATTTCATTTAACTTCACATTCAAATCTCGGTTCGAAAGGTCAGTTGGTTTTCAAACACTGCCAGCACACTTATTTAACCATATGAGGTATGAGGCAGACACATATGGAAACAGCTGAAAGCAGAAAAGAGGACGAGCGAAGCCCCTGATGAACTGAAATCTCAGCAGGACTTCTCACATCGCTTGTTGTCTTGGCGAGCAGGGTGTGGGAATGTAGTGTAGAGAAGTGAAAGAAAAGTCTTCCGAGGTAATCGTTGATACTTTCGACTCTCTCAGAAGTTTTACAACTCCCATGTTAGTTTAGGGTGCTAAAGGTGCGCCATGTTTCAAGTGAAAGTTGTTCGTAAAAGTAAAACCTCTAGGCAGTGGTCGCAACTGATTACTGTCTTATCATGTGGCTCTGATTACGCAACAATTGAAAACAAAAAATTCTTTCGCAATCAATGATTATGAAAACGGTTTAAAAGAAAAAAAACAAAAAAGTTTTTTTAAAAGGAAATAAAATGTTTCCGATTGTTCACGGACGTGTACCAGGGGGAATGTGTAAGACAGCAGCTGGATGGCCATATGGTTTTGTGAGGATAGACGGAACTAAATTGAGTATGAAAACGGAAATGATCCTACAATTCTGTGGTCATGAGGTAAGGTCATTAGTATGCATCTTAAGGAAATCTCGGAATGAAAGCAATTGTAAACGAGAGAACATGGTATTCAAAGCTAGCGTTTGTGAAAAATGAATCATCAGTTAAGCGGCTTGTGCAAGCAATTCCATATAAGGACGAGCAACTATTTTCTTTCGAGCAGCAGCAAGCCATCAATCTATAACAGCTTTTTTTCCATCGCTGCAGAGGGAGAGAAGGCTCGGATAAAACTTCAACTAGTTAAATAATAATGTCAATTTGAATTAAAGACGGCAATCATGTTGCTCAAGATGATCGGGTTGAACGATGTTTGGACGACGTAAGGAAGACTGTCATCAGATGGAATCGAGATTCTTGAATATTTCTGTTGACTTTGCCGCCAACAGCGCAAAAAAACGAAGAGAAAAAGACAAAACTTTAAGAAAATGACGGGAACTTTATGGCTTTAGGTGTTGAAGAGAATTCGGAGAAGCTTTGGAAGTTTGGGAGAGAATACTACTGTTGACGAACAAATTGGTTGAGTCTTCACTTGAAACGGAAGAAAACAAACGTCTCGATGAGGTCTGAACGGCATGAAACGAAAAATGGGTCAGCTTTTGAAAAAAAATATCGGAGAAGGACATCATACTGGAAAATATGAATGCACTGGGTGTGAAAGAAAGAAACAAAATATGTATGGAAATGGTTAGAGAAAGAGGAAAGCCATATATAGATGAGCTGGCTAATTGTATAACCTCTCTCTCTCTTTATCTGTATAATACTGTTTCTATGTCATGCAGTCACTCTTTCTTTCTCTCTCTCTCTCTCTAACTGTCTATCGTTTTCTCATCAACATCGTCTTCTTTACCTTCTATTGCTGTTGCTGCTGATGTTGGGCGTGAACAGCACAACAACAGACAGAAATGCGACACCGTTTGACATGGGCTTTATGCAAACATGGGCGCAGCATTTTACAAATAAGGAATCTCAAACTCTCTAAATAGTTAGTAATAAAAGGAAGATTAAACTACAACTACAGAAGAATCTTCGGAAGGAAACACTTGCATCTAATAACAAATGCGATTTGGAGCAGATTGAGAAGATAAAAAGTGAACAACACGAGGAAGAAAAACGATAGAGCTAATGAATCAAAAAGAGAGAAGTCGGAAGGTCCGCCCTTCTTCGTACAGAAGCATCCACACATACATATACACATATATTCTGCTCGTTCTTCGACAATGGGATTCACATAACCAATTATGGACACTTGAAGCATGACTTACCATGAAAGGTTGACAAGTTTTTCTGCCTTTTTTTGGTTGGACGAACGATTCGACGTGGCTAGCCAGGCAACATGTCCAATGTTTCAGCAATACATTCGATCAACAACGCATAGCTTAAAGACAGAATAGCAGTTGCAAACGTCGTCAGTGGTAACAACTGTTCCATTAGGAAAGGATCCAATAAGTTTAGGGTCATTACTCTTCAAACATCTCATTGAGAAAAGAGCGCACGAGGTGATAATCTCAACTTCATTTTATCAAATTTCTTCCGAACATAACCCATAAATCATGAAAGAAGAAGATGTGTGGTTCTTTTTGTGTTAAGAATCCTATGTGTGTGACTTCTCTATGGACCAAAGTAAATAGCCCAATGTCTTACGAGTTTCAACTTTCTTCCCCAGTTCCCACTGAAACTTCACAATTTCATTCATCTTCTTCCAATGTCGTTCCAAGCGAATTGGCTGCTGTTATAACCAATGACAGCGAGAATATGCCATATAGTTCCTTAATTGTCGGAAAATATAGTAGAAGAAAACAAAAATTTCATATCTTCTTTCCCAACCAACAAACGACTCTTCGTCTTCTCACTCACTCACAAGAGCTTCCGGAAAACAACTTGACATAAGACGCGCTCCAATGCTAATTCCTTCAGTCTTCCTAATGTTTTCCTTTGCACAATAAAACAGGCGCAGTATTAAGCTAGAAGGCTGAAACTCTTTCCCATTTTCATTCCAACGCTTATACCTGAGTTACGTTTCTTCTCCATTCATGTTTGTTATGAATTATTATTGTTCATCATTCACCATGGGGTTCTCCTGTCGTTCAGCTTCTCGATTTTCCATCATAAGCAGTCCTTACGAAGACTCATGATTGGTATGCAGATCGAAAAAGTCATGAAACATCGGGCTTGATGGATCACTCCATGAAGCTTGTCCAAAAGAGATATGAGAGGTAGATCAACATCGATTGAGTAGAACAGAGTTTCGTTCATTACTTTCGAAGATGGATTCGGCGGGAAATTATTTGATACTGTTTACGTGCATTGATTTGTTATGATAGTTGTAGATGTATAGGGCGCAATGCCTTAGCACGTTGAGGAGAGTGGATATGGGTGGTGCTGAGTTGTCTGTATATGGAAGTAAGATGTTTCGTGTTGGTGTTCTATTACATGAGAATTTTGCTTTGTTTTGTATGATAAATGTTAGATGAAACTTTTAATGAAGCACAACGAACACTTATATTATGGGAAGAAGAAATTGTGATTTCATACTGAGAACATGGAGACCCCGAATGTTCAAAAGTTGGAATAACCGAGCTATGAAGTATACAAGAATGACTTCCGACTTCAAAGAACGAACACGATATGACTTGTTTGCAAGTAGTTCGAGTCCGTGTTATGATGCTCACGTAAATCGAGTGTGGTTATCACAGGAATTTTCTGAACTGATGGAAGTCCATTTAATAGTTACGGTGGTATTCCTGCATGCAACAAGCGCGAAGTTAAATGGGAGGAGCTTAACGAAGGAAAGACTCGAATGGCACAGCCTTTTTCTAATAAGTTCCCTTGTCACAGGGATTTGGAACCAAAGCAGTCAATCACTGCACATCTCGGTAATTTCCATTACCTTTGATAAAGCTCATGTTCATTGAATCATAACACAACGAACATATTTTCGAAAATAACGGACAGTCTATATACCTGCAATGGCAAAGAGTATGAAGTAACTTCCTAGCATGCAACCGAAGTAGTTTCTTGTTTTCATTCGGCCAAAGTATGTCAAAATAATTTTAAATTTCAAATTTGAATGTTCGCGTGGAATGCTTGCGTATGCCCAGTATCATTTCGGTGAAGTGACATGATGAGACCGGTTGCATTCTTCGCAATTTACTTAAACGTTCATATTTTCTTCGAACCGAAACCGTTACTCGTAATTGTCTCCGTTAATATTCATAATATGAGGCCAATTTTGGTTAAGTGCTTCTCTTTTGATAGCTTTGTCATCTTCTTAACGTTTCCATAGCAACTAATATACTCTCGGATATTATCTATTCGAATAATATTCCGCTCGCGTGTTACATCTGCTTCATTCTCTATATTAGTAAGCTGTAGAAGCTACCTCAACCCATTTCATACTCAAACCGTCAGTATCTTCTTGCTCACAACTACTTTGCTTTCAGAATGGCTAGCTCCAGTCCCGAAAGTTCTGCTCCCACCAAAAGTGCATTTGATGGTAAAGATGTGTTTGAAGCCATTGAGCAAGGTTTCTTTATGAAGCTTTTTCTGTTTTTATTTTATTGTTTTGAAGGACGAACAGCAGATGCTTTAAAACTCATTGATGAAAGGAAAGATCTCAAAATTTATGATGATTCCAAGATGTCTGTATTGTCTCAAGCCTGTTTCAAGTAATTCCTTTGCTATCCAACTCAATCCGAGCATATCCAACTTGTCAGGGGAAATATAACTGTTGCGGAAAAACTTTTGGATAAAGGATGTGATGTGAATGATAGTTATCACAAGCAAGGATTCACAGCTCTTATGTTTGCTGCTTTATCAGGCATTTTCGATTTTCGGTTCACCAAACAATATGAACTTCTAAGGACATTCTGAACTATGCAAGCTTTTGATGGACTACGGAGCCAAATCTTATGCTACTAACAACATGGGCAAAACAGCATCAGAGTTAGCAGCTTTCGTCGGTTCGTACGAACATAATCTCTCTCGTACAAACATACAATCTAGGACAACATGAGTGTGTTTGTATCATCAACAATCACATCAGTGTCGATGAAGTGGAAAAGTTCTTACATCCGGACGGGGAGAAAAGCGAAGAACAATATCCTCCGGAACTTGTTCTGTTCATCCATGACATATGTAAATCCCATAGAGTATGGTATTTTCCTCAGGGCGTCAGTTATAAGTTCAATTTCAGGTTCATCCAGTTGCTATCCTATTACGTCTTGCCCAATATCCCGATGCTTTAAAATATAAAAAGAAAGTGAGTCTTTACCTTCCATTCGATAACGGCCAAGTTTCTTAGGTTCTATATGTAGTAGATCGTGTATTCGAACGTCAGCTCAGGTGTAAAGAAAGCAATGAGGTTAGAGCATTCTCACTTATCTCTTTATTGTTTTCTCCTCTGAAGGTTATGTCTCTGAAGTTATGGATCATCCTTCATGTCTTACGAGAGGCTATCAAGTTCATAGAAGAGAAGAATGAGAAAGACCCTGCTACTGTCGTGACGGTTTATTGTAAATTCCTTTTGCAAATGGAGCCTGATCAACAGGTTAGGTAAGCTCATCCATAATTCGTCTGGCTTCGCAATGCAACTTTGTTTAGGCCAAACCTGGAAACTCTATTGAGAAATGCTGTACGTTCATTCCCTTACCATCACTCCCTACTCTTCGAAACCTTGGTTAAAGTATGTTTTTTTTTCGGATTGAGTTATATGTTCCTTCTGTATAGGCTATCGCTAAAGTGCCATTCATGAGCAGACCAACAGCTTATGAGTTTATCGTCCAATCTCTGTTCGGTCACCGCATTCTTGCTTGCAGTAAGTTCTGTGCTACTTGCGGAACTCCTAACGCAGATAAGAAGTGTCCCAATTGCAAGGTTTGTAGAACGGATTGAGTACGATTAAACGAAAAAAACCTTTGCAGTTTCCATATTGTTCCCGCGATTGTCAAAAGTTCGATTGGGTTTTCCACAAGAAGTGCTGTGACTCAATCAAAGGATGGAACGTCCAACAGGAAGAGCAAGTCATGTCAATCGAAGATTTGCAAAGCCAATTGGGGCAAATTAATGTTTAACTTAACTCATACTTCTATTATTTATTTCTTTAATAATTTTTACCGCATAAAGTTTTATTTGATGTTTTGCAAGAATGACATCGATGCAGTTTGTACTTTCACGAATATCGCTAGTTTCTAATGCAAATTCAAACTTTTTTTTTGAAGACTAATGTTTATTGAACGAATAAACCATGTGACAGGTGAAAGAGAATGGGTAGTAGCTGATGAGGACTACGATTTGGTACAAGAACTTGCCAGGTTCTTGAAAAAATTATGCTGATCATCTCTGTTGTCGTTTTCAGAAGTCGCTTCGGGGATATGATTCTTGATTTCGATCGTAACGACATGTTTCTTGAAGGTCTTAAAACCACGATTGCTGAGTTGAAAGCCAAAAACAAGCACGTACATGTCTTAGATATCGGTTTTATCTGTGTATGACTTCTTTTGAGCATCTAAATTATTCAGGAACTGGCACAGGGTTGTTGTCCCTTATGGCTGCACGGGAAGGTGCTGATCAAGTCACTGCACTCGAAGTCTTCGATCCAATGGCCAAATGTGCTCGTAAAATAACCAAAGCATCGGAGTGGAAAGACAAAATCACAGTATGTTTTTGTTTTGTCTTCTGACTCGTGATTTCTATTAAGTATTCCATATAAGGTAGTATCAACACGTTCAACTGATCTGTCTCACCTGGGAGAAAAGCCCAACATCATTGTAGCAGAGGTTAGCTCTCTGAGAGTTTACAAGTTAATCAATATGTTTTGAAGGTATTCGATACGGAGTTGATAGGTGAAGGTGCTTTGAGAACCTTCAAAGAAGCTCTCACTAATCTCGTGCAGGTTTCGATTCTCTTCCCCCTTGGTTGATACAAATTATTTTTTCAGCCAGGATGTCGAGTTGTTCCTTCATTAGGCCGAGTATGGGTGATGCTAGTTCAAAGCGACTTCTTGAAATCGTTCAACAGAATTCCCGTACTGCGAAAAACAGAAGGTTTTTATTGATATTTTATATTATTGCTGTATATCATGCATTTCTAAGGAAGCCCTTTGGGGAATTGTCCTGGAACTAGCGCTGTGTTTGACGTGCAACTCTCTCGAGTAACATCAGATCAATTTGAAGCTCTTTCATCTCCTATCTTGGCTTTCAAGTAGAGTTTCAGTTTTTTCCTCATTCGCCAATCCATCTTTCTCAGCTTTGATTTTGAAGACGCTGACAGCATCATTTATAACGAAGAGTTTACGAGGAACTTTGTCTGTTCTAAATCTGGCAATGCTGATGCCATTCTCATGTGGTATGATAGGGGTTATCATTAAGCCAAAATTGATAATGAGCTTTGTAGGTGGGATTTGGATATGGACCGAACAGGTAAAAACTTCATTGACATGGCACCCACATGGAAGAACCCTAACTTTGCCGTAAGAAACTCTTTTCATTAATCTTAAAAGTAAATAGAGATTTTGTAGTGGAGAGACCATTGGATGCAAGCTGTGTATTATCTCCCTGACACTGTTAAAGTCGAAGAAGGAAAAACGTATGATCTGGGATGCTCCCACGATGAATTCAGCATGTGGTTTGCTCTACAATCGAAGTAAATCTCCCTCATTAACTGTTTTAATCTTTCGCTTGCAGAGGATATCCCCGTCCATATTGTGATTGTTCTATCCATTCTTTACTCTCTCGTCAAACTGTTCACAGATTGAATGACACTTTAGGAGATGAAAAGCTCAATGAGCAAATCCAAAAGGTCAGCGAATCTCTTCTCATACTTGTCATAATGTGGAGTATCAGATGTGTTCTGGGAAGAATGTTTGTGTGCTTGGTGAAGGATCCATGATAGGGCTCTTGGCCTCGAACGTGGCTGAACATGTTACGATTGTTGACTCTAACAGTCATTTCAGAGGAATCATTCAGAAGTTTCCCTTTTTTTTCTTTCCGCTTTCTGAAGTTGATTTTCAAGATATGTTTCTTTCTACAAGCTGTCGAATGTGACGATACTAAGCAACACTTCAGAATTAACTGAGAAGGTTTAGCTCTTATCACTCCAACTGTAATACCACTTTGCCTCTTCAGCCTGATCTCGTGATGTCTGAGCCCTTCTATATTTCGGCAATGAATCCTTGGCAAAATCTCCGATATTGGTATGAGCTGGATACGATAAGAGAGAAGTTCGGAGATAACATTGAGTTTGAGCCGAAGGTTTGAAGACCCACCTTAACACTCATGACTGTTCATATGTAGAAGGGAACACTCTATGGGGTATGTGAGAAGTTCACTGATCTGCATACAATCGCATCACCTGTCGGAACTGTGAATGGCTTCGATCTGTCATACTTCGATGAAATTTCTCAGGTGGTTGAATTCGCGTCTCTTTGTTTTTACAAGAGTTGTTTGAAGAAGGCAAGACAGGCCACTGACGCTGTTGTCGACGAACAGCCTCTTTGGGAGTACGGAGGTGAACTACTTTCGAAAAAGGTTGAGTTGATGTCATTTGACCTGAAAGAAAAGCCGCAACCTCGAACAGAGCAGATGACAATTGATATAGCGTATGTTTACAAATCAAAGAGAATCGTTAGGCGAGGATTTTAAGCCCTGGGACAAATGGATTTCCGTTATGGATAGATTGGCTGTTTGGAGAATTAGTAATCACTACTGGGTTGAAGGAATCAACCATCAGTCAGTTGTTTTCTCATTGATACTTACACCTGCTTTGTTTAAGATAAAGAACCGAATTGGTCAGTGAAAGAGAAGCAGGGAGTATTCCTACTCCCTCCTAACCTCATAGAGAAGAATGTGCTGAACGCTCATATCGCTTTTGATAAAGGCGACCTTGTTTTCAATTTTTGTTGATTTTTCTGTTGTCATTTCTGTTACATTAAAGATTTTCTATTTAACTTGATGTGATTGACGGAGGCGTCGAGTCGCGCGACACATTACTTCACGCGTTTTGTTTGTTCAATTTAGATATTGTCTCTTGCAGATGTCAGTTCCCATAAATAAACCTTCAGGCAAGCGAGGGGTAGGATTGTGTTGGTTTATATTGCCTTTTAAGGAATTGTCCTTTTCAGAATGAATTTTCTGATGATTCGTTAGAGTGGGAAAATCATTTTGTATTGAGAGTTCCTGAAGATGTCGCTTCGAAGGTTTGTGTCCACTTCAGTGTTTCAAGTTCAACACAAACTTAGATCGACGGTATGTTAGATGATCAGCAAAATGCTGTTAAAGAAGATTTGGCTATCCAATTCACAACGCCTGACATGAGACATGCTACTGTCAGAGTAGGGCAACATCTTCTCAATGCCAAAGTCCATGATTTGCCATGTATAAGTGAGGTATATCATGAAGTTCTTTGCGCTGTCCATTAGTTCCCTCTTGAGGTCATGAAAACGATTGATAGGAAAAACTTTTTCAAAGTTACGGATTTATCTCAAATAATGGTCTGCAGCACTGGCACTTCTCAAATTGAGAACACTACTAATGCCCTCACAACTGAAACTACAACAGAAGCCAGATCCAATACGAAGAAAGTAAGTGGCTTTCCATCCAATAAGGATATAATTAATCTATTTAAGGAGGTTAAACAATGGCAATATCCACACGGGCTGACCCCTCCGATGAAGAGTGTAAGGCGAAGAAGATTCCGGAAGACTAAGAAGAAGAAATATATGGATGCCCCTGAAGTAATCACTATTGATTATATCGAATAGTTAAAGCGTTTTTTTTCTTAGGTCGAGAAAGAATTGAAAAAATTATTACGTGCAGACTTAGATGCCGAGAGTATTAGGTGGGAAATAGTCCCGACGGAAGATAAGAAGAAGGAAAAGGTTTCTTTTCGGTATTTTTAGGAGTCTTGATGAAGTTTTCTTGTTCAGCCATCTGCGGAAGGCGGAGCTGCAGTTGACGATCAAGCCTTATTTGGAGATAAGCTGACCAGTAGTGAAGATGATGATGCAGAGCCAGAACAAGTGGAGGAGAAAGAAGACCAAATTTAAACATAATTTTACGGCTCTAAGTGCTTTTTAATATTGTGATCTTCCTAGATTGTATGTACAACTCGAAATGTATAAATCATGTCATAAAGCGCTAAGCGAGGTGACAGCTGCATGTTTATTTCTATTTTAGAATACAAGTCTCGTTTTCTTCGAGCTGAAATACCTCTCTTTTGTTTTCTCTTTCTCTTTCGCCTCTTCTCTATGTCCATTTTTCGCTTCACGCTTTATCTCATTCTAGAGTTGACTTCGTGTGATCTTGTTCTCGTCTCATCGTTTTTATACTGGACTGCTTCATGTCTTGCACGCTTTGTTTCATATCGGGTTTTATTCTTAAAATCGATCTTCCAACCAAAAAAGGATACGTCATCCCAGTTTTCTAAAGCTCTTATAGATGAAATCAAGGAATTATCCTCTCCAGTTATAGTCCGTTCATTTAATATACATATATTTGTGGTTTGGATTATTTTTCGAATTGTTATTACGGCTTGCATATAGCCGGAATTTGAAAATCATTTCATCGTCTGGCCGTCGGATTAATATTCTAATTACACCATCATGCTCATGCAGCAATCATCACGTTCGCTCCACGTATGCAAATACTTGCCACGTGAACCATTTTCTATGCGCAGATGTTCATTTCTACTTTTGACTTCGCATCGCGCAGTTGCATTACCAATCTTATTATTGTTGCTTTTCGTATTTCCATTTCATTACATTTCTGTCGTCCATCTTCCGTTTACTCTCGTGCTCCTTCATTCTCCGTTTGTATTGTTGTTTTCTGCGTGTTACCAACTGCATATTGACTGGAGCTAAAGTTTTCCTTTCGGTCTGTTGGAAATGGAACATATGTTATAGTTTTGTAAAATGCGGATATTAGGGGATGATTTTTCATGAAACAGTGAAGGTCAACGTGGCTGCAGTCATTAGTTCAACTGCCCTTCTTTTACCTTACATTTATTCTTTCTCATCTCATACCTTCCTTGGCTGTTAGATGTCCTTGTGTTGCGATGATTCTTAGTGAATAGTTATTGATCCACATCACATATTTACCTCTATTTAGCCTGTTTGAATACGTACACACATAACTTTCTCATCTGTGGTACTCATTGAAATATTCGGACTTGACATACAGTCAGTCAGTCCGTTGTGAATTTACAATTAAGATTTCAATTTCGCAATGCTGAGTGAGCGGTCTTACAAAGAACATCAGTTCAATTGTTCCTGTCGGCCTTTCGCTTTTCTGATACCTCAGATTATCATTTCTTATATAGTAACCTGGTGTTTGATCGCTTGTTCCTTGCCGATGTCATTATACAATCTAAACTATTCTTCTTTTTTTTTCTTTCCTGCTATATTTCCTTATCTGTCAGAATATACCAAGCTTCGATGAGTTTCAATCTTCTTTCAATCTGTCATTAAAACGGCGCGCATTGTAGGTCAGGGCGGCTCTTGTGGTTGTTACAAACATATGTTAATCAGGCACAAATGTTTTCATTTGCGAAAAATTCACTTTTCCAAGCCGTTTAATCTTAAATCATCTTTCTCGCAATTTATATTCAAGCCGGTCACCAATCTGAGATTTCTCTTTCATCTGCACACACTCACACACACCAAGTTTCGTATAACTTGTACTCTATTTCGCTTGGGATATATCTGAATGAGGGCCGCCATATATTTGCTGAAAAAGAAGTCTCGGCGACATCTTTTCACTGTTTCAGGTATATAGAAATCCTTGCCCCTATAACTGAAAGACCATTCTTGTCATTCGGAATATAGTATTCTTCTCAAATAACAAGTTATTCATGATGTATGCTGAAACGATCGGCAATGTTTTCATAGTTCCCTTGAGATACTACTCATTACGAAGAATGAATAACCAAACAAAGGTAAAATTATTTATTCTGTCATGCTTCTTATCAATGTTTTATCTTGTTTATTAGTTCAACTTACGCTTTTTTTCTAGATGTAGCTTGCTAGCATTCACTCCAGCTTGTTTTCCAGCTCATTTACCTCTCAAATAGACGTATGAATAGCAAGCACGTCTAACTATCCATGCTTATAGCCAAGCATATTGCTACTTCTCCATATATGATTATGTCGTTTGAGATCTTATTTATTCATTCATTCATTCAAGAAGCAGCTCCTATTTGTTTGTTGTTTAAACATCTTTTTCCGTAATCTAATTCGTTATAAAACCTCCATCTCGTTAGATTCTCACGATATCAGAACGTTTCTCATGATAATTGTCTATTGGAAAGAGAGAGAGAGGCTTTCTTCTATTTTGTTGCAGTTAATGCATTCAACATGAATCTTTCAACTAATGTGACCTAGATGATGATTCCAAACTCATTGCAAAGCAACACATAGAGGGCCATTCCACATCGACGTCTTGGCTAATTGATATGCCAAATGAGTTTGTTTCCCTTTTTCTTCTTCCTCTTCATGTGTTCTAGCAATCACATTCTCTCTCTCTCTTGCTCTTACTCTCACTTCATTCTCTCTACCTCACTATACCTCTCTTGACTTCGTAAGTACGAATAGCTAAGACATTTCCTTTTTTGGTTGATTTGTTAGTGTTTCTTTGAGCACTCTTTTCGGAAACGACTCATAATCGGACTCCTTTTTTTCTGTTCTTGCGCTTTCTCACTGAATTTTCAGCTTTAAGTGGCAAATATCTCTGTTTATGCCTTTTCTGTCCAAACAAGGCCAATGTCAAACAACTTTGATCATTGTTTTTACCTCTTTCCTCTTAGCATTTCATACTACTTGTTCGAAATTTATCATTCCATTTGCAGAGCTCAAAATAACACTTTCCTAGCATGCGGATCTGACAAACTCTTATATGCTTGCTGATTCATCGTAAAAAACATTGATTGAAGAATGCGTAAAATTAAGCCATACTTACTTCTTGCCATTTCCGGCTTAGTACTTCTGTGTTATATATGGTCATCGAGGTATGCTCATAATAGATTTTGACCACAGTTCAAAAAAAAATTTTGTTTAGTAGTGACGGAAGTTATCCACAAAGTCAGAGAAGCTCTCGACACCAAAGTAAAGTTGTAGCATCGCCAGAGAAGAATTATACATATGATAGGGAATCTCCTTATATTTTCATCGGTTAGTTTGAAGAGCTCATCAGATCAATCAAACTGTCATAGGTGGTGTTCCTCGATCCGGTACAACGCTCATGAGAGCAATGCTAGATGCTCACCCAGAAGTTCGATGTGGAGAAGAAACTCGAGTAATTCCTAGAATATTGGGTTTGAGAGCACAATGGAAGAGGAGTGAAAAGGTTTGCCAGTTGTATATGCGTAACTGAAGTCGAGCTTCTTCTTCCTTAAGGAATGGAATCGTCTCAATCTAGCTGGTGTCACGAACGAAGTTCTTTCAAATGCAATTAGTTCATTTATTATTGAGGTGGGCAAGCACAATTTCTCACAATATCATATTTGAAAATGTTTTGAAGATTATGGCTGGGCATGGTGCAGCAGCTCCTCGATTATGCAATAAGGACCCATTCACGATGAAGAGCGCTGTTTATCTATCGGAAATCTTTCCGAAAGCCAAATTTGTGCTCATGATCCGTGATGGAAGAGCTACTGTACACAGTATCATATCACGAAAGGTAATGCTCTTTTGAATCGCAAACAAATCAGTATCAGCATTGATTGGAAAACAGCTTATCTTGAATATTCAATCTAACTCGTCTGTGTTCAGGTTACAATTACCGGCTTCGACCTTTCTGATTATGGGCAATGCTTGAAAAAGTGGAACGATGCCATTTCCATCATGTATGACCAATGCAATCAAATTGCTGATAAATGTTTCAAGGTTTTTGACCCCTTCTCGTACATCCACATGCTCACCTTATCTTTAGATGTACTATGAACAGCTAGTTCTTCACCCTGAACAGGAGTTGAAAAAATTATTAGAATTCTTAGAAATCCCTTGGAATGATACTGTTCTCCATCACGAGGAGTTGATTGGGAAAGATATTTCTCTTTCAAAAGTAGAAAGAAGTTCTGATCAGGTAATTTAGACTCCTTTCTTCGCTATTTCCATTCATCCAATTATCCTCATACAGGTAGTGAAGCCAGTCAATATGGATGCACTTAATAAATGGGTTGGTCAGATACCTGCGGATGTTGTTCGAGATATGGATTCAGTATGTCCTTTCATCCGATCTGTTATTTCTTATCTTTTACCATATTCCAGCTGGCTCCAATGTTACGCCGATTGGGTTACGACCCGGAAGCAAATCCACCAAACTACGGTTTGTACCTAAAATGCATAAACACATATATAATGCTGATAACGGGTTTAGGTAAACCTGACGAAATTGTTGCTCAGAAAACAGAAGACGTTCACAAAAACGGTCAGCTGTGGTATCGTCGTGGAGTGGAAGTCGTGAATGATCCGAATAGAGTGGATAAGCCCATATAAGAGAGTCCTATTGTGACAGTTGCCTCGAGATTATTGCCATAACCTAACTTTAAGTTGTATTCTTGTCGTTGATTTGAAGTCGGTCGGGCTTCTAAGATGGGTTAGATTGATCATTATCAGAAGTAGTGAACAAAAGCTGCATAAAGCTTGATTGCGGGTTACAAAATGTTATGTAAAAATGTTATCGCCACCATAGATATTACTTCCTCATGTTCCTGGGTCTTCTTGCATCATATCAGCCATTGATGCTCTAGCATAATGCCCAGTTTCGGTTCATTTTTTGGTGATTTTACTGTGATTTCGTTATGGTATATTAATAAATATATTTTTATTCATAATCGCTTAATATTATTATCTTCGGAGACGGATTTGAAGAATGCTATACAGCTGTCGAGACTATAGTTGTTCCTCAGCAACTCATGTAGTGGGCCGATGTGATTTTTCACGTTTTTTCCATTGAGACGTGCTCTGTCGACAAGCAAATTTTGATAAATAGAGAATATGTTGCTGGTCTGAAGCTTTGAAAATCAAAAAAAAGTTTTTTGCAAATGTCTCGTCTCACCTCAATGGGATTCTTTTCAGCTTCCGCATACACCTCGTCATGACTTTTAAGAATTGCTTTGTTATCGTCACTCAAGAAGGATATGTCCGAACAACTGACTTCTAATTCCTGAAAAGCACAAAAGGTCATAGTGTATATGAGAATGCGAGAAAGTATTTTGTAATTGAAGCTCATCTTCCTGTGACATAATGAAGACGAATTTGGAAACATAAGCTTACATGTGACGATCGAAAGAGTAGCCAAACACTATTACTTTCAACAAATTTAAGCAAAGCTTTCAGACAGAGTTTGACGTCATCAAGTTGAAAGATGGTAGAACCACCAAAAAAACCGGAAGTATGTGGACGTATTTTGAGGTACGAATGTGAAAAAAAAAGTAGCAAAAGAATTCCTGACATCATCCATCTCAAGAGTTCATAAGCCGACTTACACGTAATGCTGTTGCAAGCATTTTGCATTTTTCCGTTTCCAACAGACGAGTTAGTTGCGGATGTAAAAGGCGAAGGCAATGACTGACGGAATCCTCATTCAAATCTGAACAAGTAAGTACATTGCTTCAACAATACACATCATCTGCCACATAGCAGCAAAATGTTTTTTTTTCGTTTCATCTCAACGAACCACATTGAATTTGGACACGAATTTGACTTTTCGTTGTCTCTGCACTGATACGATCTCGTATTATGGCAATCGTCGATATGCTATCAGAACGAAACACGACAGATCCTCGTCTGAAGTTAAAAATAACAATGTTTACTCACCAATTTACAGTATAAAAATACTTTTATACGAAAATTCACACGGAACTCACGAATAAACAGCTTGGAGTTGAGTTCCTCCATTTACACAGTTTTGTAAATTCAACGTTACACTATCGGTTGGAGGAGCCTTCAACGGTATTTCCGGGATGAGCATTACCAGCCATGCATGTGCTTCAGCTAATGTGAAATTACCTGTAAAGACAACTTTTCTAATTATAGTGCTCATCTGTACGCATATAGCTTCTCAGCTGTATGGCTCATTAGCATAATACACGTACGCAACGTGGAGTGCGTGAATGCATAGTCATTTTTACTATTAATTATGCGCAGAGCGGTTGATCTGTTTAAACAGCTAAATGAGAAAAGACAAAAATAAAAAAGTTTTGGCAATTTGCACTGTTTTTGCATAAAACTGTTTGTTATTGTTTTTACAATGACGACAGTTCGGAAAGTTTCAATTGAATTCTCCCGAACTGCGCTCCAATCGTTTTTTTGGTTCAGATCATTGGACAGTAAGAGACAGTGATGTTTGTGATTGACTGGAATACCTGAAATAGACAGCACATTCATGGGACGGCCATTGTCAATTTGGTGTACTCGAACATGAGCTGATAGGGGTTTGACTTCGAAGATACGAACCTTAAAACATATTATTCTATGGAAAAAAAAAGAAATTTGGGATAAAAAAAGGGATTTCTATGAAATCTGTTTCTCTCTCTCTCTCTCTCTCTCTCTCTCTCTCTCTTTACATTCTCTCTTTCTCTCTCTCGTCATCACCACATTCTTTTTCTCTCTCTCTCTGTAGACTCGTCTTCCCTCATACCTCTCTTCTAAGAAAACAAAAAGACTTGTGAATGATACATGGATACATGGAAACATTTGGATATCTCGCACTTCAAACGGAACACACGGACAACGTCACAGTCTGGATACGTCATCAGCGTCTCCCTTTCCTCTTACAATACTAAAGTTTAGTTATTTTAGAATCGTCAGCATAAGATGGATTTACAATTTGTGACTACTTTGTTTCCGATGGACGTTACTGAGATTTCCGATTTGGAAAGGAGAAAAGAAGTTCTATCACGTCAAATGCGCATCGAATTTCGGACAGAAGCTATCTCTCATACTTTCGAAAATCTCTGCTATAAATGGAATATGGAACACACAAGATTAGATTGAAGAAGAGGAAGAGTGGGAGGTGTAGGGAAGAGCAAATGGGGGAAATTAATCAACATACAAGCAACTCTATGCTTCTCCCTTGTAGAGTATCCCTCTCTCTGTAATGCTCAGAACCTCTTCATCTTACTCCGCATATCCCGACTTCTTTTTCTCTCTTGCGTCTTCAGTAACATTTGATATTTCCTTTCGTGTGTTCAAAAAGAAATACTGTGCGAGGATAATGTTGAAAGTGAATAGAGCTTGGCGACGAGAATCAGAAAGAGGAGGTTGGCCTAAGCCCGGCCCCTTTTCGTTGGCTCACACAATTCGTGTACAGCTTCTGGTGGCCATCAGGTGGTTGCATCAGAACCCGCTCTGTTTCAATATCCCAGAAACAAAACTTAAAACTCATTCTTTTTCTAACTGTGTCTTAGCTTCGAAAGGATGTTATCATTCAGTCGCGTATTCACTCTTCTGTTTCTCTTTATACTTGTACTGAGCATAATGGCATCTCCATTCTATGTATCAAGGACATTCTACCCTGGACAGGTTAGTAAGCTCATCTCTATTTCTATCAACTTGACTGAGCAACATGACCATCACAGGTTGATGAAGCTTCTCTTAGAAGAAGCTCAAAAAAAGTCTGTGCATGAAGACACGTTTGTATATTTGCTGCAATTCCGCAGAGATTTCAGAAGCTAAAAGAGTTTTGATTAACTTTCTCAAATTAGTTTTTTCCTTTCATTGTTCAAAAACCTTAATTGCGGAACTGTGGTGGTATGCAAAATATTTGAAAAACTTTTTAAATAAAAATATTATTTTTTTAAAACAAAAATATATTTTAGTGGCATGGAGACAGCTTGTCTAAACGAGCCTTAGACAAGTGTGGCTGCAACCTTGGCTGTTTCTTCTCATCAGCCCGCGAGTGTATGAGCTGTTGTGCTTTGGCATTACGTTGATGATACAGAAGGGAGATGTTTATAAGAAGATGAAGAAGAAGATGAAGAAGATGAAGAAGAACTTCGAGAATATTTTTGTTTCTTCTCCAACACATTATCGTCGTTATCATTCAAATTATTTTTTTGTTCTCACAAACAGAAAAGAATGACAAGTGAACTTATATTTTGAAAAAGAAATCAAATGAATCTCAAGCTGTTTGTATTGTTATGTATATTTCGGGGATATGGGGGGGGGGGGGGGGGGGGGGGTGTATTGGGGGGGAAACAAGCGGGGGGGCTTTTGGGG